ATTAACCCCAAATACACCAAAGTTCACTCCCAGAAATCCCCCCAAATCCCCCCACAATCACACAAATTAACCTCAAATCACCAAAAGTTTACCTAAAAATCCCCCAAGTTATACCCAAAATTGAACCCAAGAATCCACCAAAATTAACCCCAAATCACAAAAATTAACCCAAAATCACCCCAAATCTCCAAAATTAACCCAAAAAACCACAGTCAACCAAAATACCCCCAAAAATCTCTCCCAATCACCCAACAAATACCCCAAAATCACCAAAATTACCCCAACGTTCCCCATTTCCCCCAAAATTCCGCTTTTCCCCCTAAATTACATAAAAAAGCCCAAAACGCCAAATCACAGCACCCCTCAAATACCCCAATCGCAAACACCGAATTCCCCAAAATCCCAAATCCCCCAAAATCCCCCAAACCCCCCAAAATCCCTAAATTTCCCCCAATTCCCATAGCCCAAAATCCCCCAACCCCCCAAAAACCCCCAAATCCCTCCAAAATGCCCAAACCCCAAAACCCCCAATCCCAAAACCCCCAAACTCCCCCCCCAACCCCCAAACATTCCAAAACACCCACACCCCCAAAACCCCCAAACCCTCAAACCCCCCCAAAATCTCCAAAAATTCCCATTTACCCCCTCAAAAGCCCCAAACCCCCCACAAACCCCCAAAAAACTTCAAAACTTCAAAACCTAAAATTCCCCAAATCCCCCAAAGAGCCCCAACTCCCAAAAACCCCAATTTCCACCCAAAATTCCCATTTACCCCCCAAAAATCCCAATCCCCAAACCCCAAATGTCCCCAATCCCCCCAAAATCCCAATCCCTCCAATCCCCCCAAACTCCCCACACCCCAACCCCCCCAAAAACCTACAAATCCCCCAAAATTCTCCCCCCAAACTCCCCAAAAACCCCAAACCTCCAAATCCCCCTATTATCCCAGATCCTCCAAAATCACAACCCCCAAAACTCCAAAACCCCCAAATCTAAATCCCTAAAAACCCAACAACCCCAAATCCCAAAAACCCCAAAAGCCCCAAAACCCCCCCAACCCCCAAAATTCCCCCAATCTTAACCCCTTAAAAACGCCAATAATAAATCTCAAAACCCCCAAAATGCCCAAAACTGCCAAAACTCCCCAAAACCCCCAAAACCCCAAAATGTCCCAAATCCCCAAACCTCCCAAACCCAAAATCTCCTCAAATACTTCCCCAAAACCCCCCAAATTCCCCATTTTATACCCCAAAAACACCCAAATCCCAAACATCCCAAAATCTCAAATCCCAAATCCCAAAAAACCCCCCAAAATCCCAAACGCCAAATCCCCAATCCCAAATCCTAAATCCCCAAAACCTCAAACTCAACTCCCCAAAATCCCAAATCCCCCAAACTCTAAACCCCCAAAACCCCCAAATCAGAAACCCCAAAAAAACCCCAAACCCAAAATCCCCAAAAAACCCCCAAAATCCTGAATCCAAAATGTCCAAAATCTCGAATCCTCAAAATCCCAAATCCCAAAACCCCAAAATCCCCCAAGGCCCAAAACTCTCCAAAAAACTCCAAGGCCCAAAGCCACCAAAAAACCCCACAAAACCTCAAACCCCAAATCCCCAAAAATCCCCAAATTCCCAAACCCCAAATCCCTCAAAATCCCAAGTCCCCCCACCCCCCAAAATCCCAACACCCAAAATTGCCCCAAATCCCCCAAAATTTCCCATTTTATCTCCCCAAAACCCCAAATCCCCAAAAAAACCCCCCAAAAATCCCAAAACACCCCCAAAAATCTCAAATCCCAAACTCCAAAATTCCCCATTTTACCCCCAAAAATCCCATAAACCCCAAAAACTCCAAAAACCCCAAAACTCCAACTCCCCAAACCCCAAATCCGAAACCCCAAAATACCCCCCAAAACCCCACAATTCTCAAACCCAAGCCCCCAAATTTCCCCATTTTACCCCCCAAAACCCCATAAAAACCCCAAAAAACCCCATAAAACCCCCCAAAATCCCAAAAACCTCAATCCCAAACCCCCAAACTCCCCATTTTACCGCCCAAAAACCCCATAAAACCCCCAAAATTCCCGCACTCACACTTGGCCCCTCCCCCTCCACAGCTGCTGCTGGAGCTGCTCCAGGGCTGAGTTTGGGCTCAAATCTGGGATTTTGGGCCAGATTTGGGGATTTAGGATCCAAATTTTGGGGTTTTAGGGCCGATTTTTGTGGATTTTGAGGTTTTGGGGCCGAATTTTGGGGTTTTTGGGGCTCCTGGGGTGGATTTTGGGGATTTTGGAGCTCCTGCTGGAGCTGGGTCAGCGCCCGGCCCAGGGAGGCCCGGTGGGCCAAGAGCCCCTCCCGGAGCAGGAACAGCCTGGGGAGGAAATTGGGGTGAGAAAGGGGGAAATTGGGGAAAAATGGGGAAAAATAGGGGGGGGGGGGAGAATGGAGATTTTGGGGGAAATGGGGGGAAAAATGGGGGGAAAAATGGGAATTTTGAGAGAAAAATAGGGGGAGAAATGGGGAAAAATGGGAATAAAAATTGGGATTTTGGGGTCAAATCTAGTGATTTTGGAGCCAAGTTTGGAGCCAATTTTGGGGATTACAGACCAGGTTTTGGGGCTGAATTTAGGAATTTTGGGGCAGAATTTGGAGATTTGGAGCCAAATTTTGGAGTTTCGGGGCTGAACTTCATGATTTTGGAACCCAATTTGAGGCCAATTTTGGAAATTTTGGGGCTGATTTGGGGGTTGAATTTTGGGATTTTAGAGCTGAGTTTGGGGCCAAATGTTGGAGATTTTTGAGAACAAATTTGGGGATTTTGGGGCCGATTTGGGGGATTTGGGGCTGAATTTGGGGCTGAATTTGAGGATTTTGGGGCTGAGTTTGGGCATTTTAGAGGAAATTTTCGGGATTTTATAGACAATTATGGGGCCAAATTTGGAGCAGACTTTTGGTGGTTTCAGGCAAAATTTTGGGGTTTTTTTCTGGGGGTTTGGAGCCAAACCTGGGGATTTGGGGGCTAAATTTGGAGCCATATTTTGGGGATTTTGGGGCCGATTCTGGGGATTTTAGAGCCAATTTTGGGGCTGGTTTTGGGGCTGGAGTTTGGGATTTTGGGCTGGAATATTGGGAGTTTTGTACCGATTCTGGGGCTGATTTTAGGACAAATTTGGAGGATTTGGGGCCAAATTTTGGGGCCAAACTTGAAACCAAATCTGGAAATGTTGGGGCTGATCTTAGGGCTGAATTGTGGGGATTTTGGGGTCGAATTTGGGGGTTTTAGGGCTGAATTTGGGATTTTAGACCCAAATTTTGGGGCTGATTTTAGAGCTAAACCCAGAGGATTTGTGGCCAAATTTTGGTGATTTTGGGACCCGGATTTTGGGGCCAAATTTGGGGATTTGAGAGCCAATTTTGGGGTCAAATCTGGGGCCAAACTTCGGGATTTTGCAGCTGAATTCAGGGACTTTAGAGCTGATTTTGGGACTGATTTTGGGGCCAAATTTTGGGGAATTTGGGGCTGAATTTTGAGGTGATTTTGGGCAATTTTGGGGCCAGGGAGCCCCAGAAGGCCGAGAGCCCCACCCAGAGCAGGAACAGCCTTGGGGCGGGAGTGCAGGGAAATCTGGGGTGAGAAACGGAGAAATTGAGAAAATGGGGGAAAAAATGGGGAAAAATAGGGGGAGGGGAAGGGGGATCTTGGGAGGAAAATAGGTAGAAAAATGGGAATAAAAATGGGAATTTGGAGGGAAAAATGGGAATAGGAACAGGGATTTTGGGGGATAAAGTTCAGGAAACAGAAGAAGAAAAATGAAGATTTTGAGGTGAAAAATGGGGATTTTGGGGAAAAGGCAATAAAAATTGGGAATTTTGGATACATTAGGACAAATTTGGGATAATTTTGGGTATTTTGGGACCAATTTCAGGAAGTTTGGGGTGGATTTGGGAATTTTTTTGGTACATTTTGGGCTGGATTTCAGACATTTGGGGATAATTTGAAGTATTTTAGGATGGATTTGGGATATTTAGGATATTTTAGGGGTATTTCAGGGATTTCGGTCTCACCTGGTAACTCCATCGTTGCCCATCCCCCGCTCCAGGTGTGTCCCAGGGGATTTTTGGGAGCATTTGGGATTTTTGGGGTATTTTGGGCCAGATTTCAGGGATTTTGTGACATTTGAGGGTAATTTAAATATTTTAGGATATTGAGAATATTTTAGGGATAATTCAGGACATTTTGGTGTTACCTGATGACTTCATTGTTGCCCGTCCCCTGCTCCAGGTGCGTCCCCAGCTGCCCCCTCAGGTGGGACAGCTGGGACAGGAGGGGGGGGCAGCGCCCCCCACACCTCCCCCACAGCCCCCCAGCACTCCTGGGGACCCCAAAAGCACATCAGGGACCCCAAAATGGCTCAGGGACCCCAAAAGCCCAAAAATCCACCCCAAAAATGAGCTCAGAAACCCCCAAAAGCCCCAAGTCCACCCCAAAAACGACCCTGGGATCCTGAAAATGGACTCGGAAACCCCAAAACCACCCCAAAAACCCAAACTACCCCAAAACCAGCTAAGGAACCCCAAAAACAGACTCGGGGAGCCCAAAAATCCCAAAATCTGCCCCAAAACCCCCCAATACCTCAAAATCCACCCCAAAACCACCTCAGGGACACAAAAAATGGATTCAGGGACCCAAAAACCCCAAATTCACTCCAAAACCCCAAATCCTGACCGTAGAATTGCCGAAACCCCCCCAAAAATCCCAAATCCCAACCCTAAAAATTCCCAAAATCCCTCAGGTCCCCAAAAAATTCCCCAAAATGCAAATTTCTGACCCAAGAAATCCCCAATTCCCCCCCAAAATCCCCAAAATTCAAAATCTTAACCCCAAAAAGCCCCAAATCCCCCATCTGAAATTATGACCCCCAAAAACGCGCAAAATCTGAAATTTTGACCCCAAGAAGCCCCAAAATCCCCAATTTTGACCCCAACCCCCGTTCCCCTCCCCCCTCACCTGCAGGAGGCGCTTCAGGGTGGGCGGCGCCTTGGCTGAGGGGGTGGGGCCAGCCAGGAGATCTCTGTGATTGACAGGTGTGAGGCCACGCCCCCCAACAGCACCAGAAATCCCCTCAGGGACCCCAAAATGTCCTAAAAAGCCCCAAAATTCCTCCCACCCCATTAAGCCCCACCCACCCACTTGGGCCACACCCATTGCTTTTGGCCACACCCACTTCTTTAAGACCCACCCATTCGTTTGGCCACACCCACCCCATTAATCCGCACCCACCCCTTTAAGCCCCGCCCATTGCTTTTGGCCACTCCCACCCATTTAGGCCACACTGATCCCTTTAAGCTCCACCCACTCCTTTAAGCCCCACCCATTTTAGCCCTGCCCAATCCCTTTCAGCCCAACACATCCATTTAGGCCACACCCACCCCTTAAGCCCTGCCCAACCCTTTAAGCCCCACCCACTGCTTAAGCCCCACCCACCCCCTGTTTAAGGCCTGCCTGCCCCTTTAACCCCCACCCATCACTTTAAGCCCCACCCACTTCTTAAGCTCCACTCACCCCCTTAGGCCCCACCCATCCTTTTAAGCTCCACCCATCCCTTTAAGCCCTAACCACCCATTTAGGCCACACCCGCCCCTTTAGGCCACACGCACCCATTTAGGTTTAACTCCATCCAACATTTAGCTCACCCAATCCCTTCAAGACCCACCCACAATTTAAAGCTCCACCCACCCCTTTCAGCTCTGCTCATCCCCTTAAGCTTCACACACCCCCTTTAGCCCCTCCCTTCCTTTAGGCCCCACCCACCTATTTAAGACCCACACACTATTTGAAGACCCACCCAATACTATAATCCCCACCCACCACTAATCGCCACCCCCCCCTTTAAGCCCCAACCCTCTTTAAGCTCCATCCACCCATTTAAGCCCCGCCCACATCTTTAAGCCACACCCATACCCTTTAAACCATACCCTCCCCTTAAACCCTGCCCACCCTTTTTCAGCCCCACCCACCCGCTAGGGCCCCACCTACATCCTAAAGGTCCACCCGCCCCTTTAATCCCCACTTCCCTATTAAGCCCCACCCACCCATCAAGCCCTTCCCACCCTTTTAAGCCTCACCCATCCCTTTAAGCCCCACCCATCAATTTAGGTCACACCCCTCTAATCCCCACCCAACATTTAGCCCACCTAATCCCTTTAAGCCCCACCCACCCACTTAAGCTCCACCCACATCTTTAAGCTCTATACATGCCCTTAAGCTCCACCCTCCCCTTTTATGCCCCACCCTTCCTTTATGCCCCACCCACTTTCTAAAGCCCCACCCACCATTTTAAACCCCACCCACTCCTTTAAGCCCCACCTACCTCTAATTCCCACCCACCCTTTAAAACCCACCTCTCTCTTTAAGCTCCACCCACCTTTTAAGCCTCACCCACCCATTGAAGCCACACCCCTCTGCTTTGGCCCCACCCAACATTTAACCCACCCAATCCTTTCAAGCCCCAACCCACATCTTATAACCTCACCCACATCTTTAGGCCACACCCATGCAATTGAGCCCAACCCACCTTTTAAAGCTCCACCCACCTCTTTAAAATCCACCCACTGCATTAAGCCCCACCCACCCCTCTAAGCCCAACCCACCCCTCTAAGCCCCACCCATTTAAGCCCTACCCAGTCATTTTGGCCACACCCCCCCTCTTCAGCCCCACACACTCCATTTAAGCCCAGCCTGTTCCTTTAAGCCCCACCCACTCATTTAAGCCCCACCAATTTCTTTAAGCCCTACCTGCTCCTTAAGCTCCACCCATGTCTGTAAGCCCCACCCACCTCTTAAGCCCCACCCACCTACATTTATGCCCCACCCATCCCCTTAAGCCACACCTACCCATTTAAGCCACACCCCTCGGTTTAAGCACGGCCCAACACTTAATACACCTAATCCCTTTAAGCCCCACCCACCCCTTTAAGCCCTGACTATTCCTTTAAGCCCCACCCACCATTTAAGCCCCATCCTGTCCCCTTAAGCCCACCCACCCATTTAAGCCCCACCCACCTCTTTAAGACCCACCCACATCTTTAAGCCACACCCACCCCATTAAGCCACACCTATTCTCATTAAGCCACACACATTTATTTAAGCCCCACCCACCTTTTAAAGCCCCCACTCACCTCTTTAGGACCCACCCATTCCTTCAATCCCCACCCACCACCCCAAGCTCCACCCATTCTTTTAAGCCTCACCCATTCCTTAAAGCCACACCTATTCCCTTTAAGCCCCACCCACCTCTTTAAACCCCACCCACCCTTTAAGCTCCACCCACTTATGCCACACCCACCCCTTTTAAGCCCAGCCCATCCCTTTAAGCTCCACCCACAATTTAGGCCCCACCTGCATGCTTAAGCCCCACCCACTCATTGAAGCCCCACCCACACCTTTAAGCCCCACCCACCATTAAGTCCACCTAATCCCTTTGAGCCCCACCCACCCTTTTAAGCCCCCCTCACATATTAAAGCCCTACCCACCCTCTTAGACCAGATCCACACTTCAAGCCCCACCCATGTCTTTAAGCCACACCAACCCCTCTAAGCCCCTCCCAGTCTTTTGGCCACTTCCCTTTAAGCCCCACCCACTCCTTCAGGCCCCACCCACCTTGTGCTCTGATTGGCCAGGACCTCCAGCGCCCAAAGCACCGCCTCTGGGCTGTGGCCAATCAGTATAGACTGTAGGGGGCACCATGTGTCAGAGAAGAGGGCGTGGCCTGAGCAGAGTCACGCCTCCTCCCCTAGCCAGCCACGCCCACCTCAGCCTGTTCCGACCAATCTGGAGCCTCCTGAACCTTCCCGGGGTGATTGGCAGCTCTGGGGTTAATTAATTAATTAATTAATTGAGGGGTTAATTAGGGGTTAAGGAGGAAGGGGTGTTGCTTACCTGTGTGGGCGTGGCCTCTGGAGCTCCGCCTCCCTGGCCTTGCACAGGGCCTTGATTGACACCTGCGGAGGGGGAGGGGTTGGGGGAATTTGGGGATTTTTGGGGGGTCCTGGGCTGATTTTGGGGGAATTTTGGCGGGTCCTGGGCTGATTTTGGGGTCCCTGAATGGTCTCCAGGCCCCGCCCACCACATCAGGCCCCACCCACTCACCAGCACTTCCGGCTCTGCCCCTGCAGCCAAAATGGCCGACAGCTCCTCCCGGGATTGGCCCGGCCTGAGGGGACCCAAAAGTCTTTTAAAAAACCCAAAATCTCCTCAAAATGCCCCCAAATCCCCCAAATTTACCCATAATCCACTCAGGAACTCCAAAAATCCCATCAAGAAACCCAAAGTCTTCTCAAAATCAACCAAAACCCCTCAAAATTTCTTCAAAATCCCCCCAGATCCCCTTAGGAACACAAAATCCCCCCACAACCCCTCAAGCCCCCCAAAATCCCTCAGGGACCCCAAAATCTCCCCAAATTCCAAAAAAATCCCCTCAGAAACCCCAAAATCCATTCAGGAACCCCAAAAATCCCCCAGAAAGCAAAAATTGCCTCACAATCCCCCAAAATCGCCTCAGAGACCCAAAAATCTAATCAAAATTTCCTCATAATCCTCCAAAATCTGAAAATTCCCACCAGGGACCCCAAAATCCCCTCAGGAACCAAAAAATTCTTTAAAACTCCCCTCATAGACCCCAAAACCTCCTCAAAACCCTTCAAAATTTCCAAAAATCCCATTAGGAACACAAAATCCCCTCAAAATCCTTTGAATTGTCTCAGAATTCCCTCAGGAACCCAAAATCCTCAAAAAACACTTCAGGGACCCCAAATTCTCCTCAAAATGCCCCAAAATCTCCTCACAATCCCCAAGAGACACAAAAAATCTCTTGAAAACGCTTCAAAATCCTCCCAAGTCCCAGAGAATCCTCCAAAATCCCCTCAAAAATCACCCAAAATCCCCTGAAGGGCCCCAGAATTCAGTCAGGGACCAAAAAATCTAAAAATCCCCCAAATTCCCCCATTGCCCATATAGGGAAACACTGCAAGGCCCCGCCCCTTCCACCCTGCCCCTTCAGGCCCCGCCCCTTTTACCTTTTATGGATTGCCCTCAGCGCCCCCTCATGGCCGTCCCGCAGCCCAGCCGGGCCTGGCTCCGCCCCCAGCAGCCGAAGCTCTGCCCCTCGCTGAAGCTCCGTCCCCAGCAGCCGAAGCTCTGCCCCTCGCTGAAGTTCCGCCCACCGCCGGCTCTGCGCCTCCTCCAGTGAGGCGTCTGGGAGGGAAAGGGGGACCCCAAAGGTTTGGGGTGAGAACCCCCAAATTTGGGGTTTGGGGGGTCTGGGACCCCAAAATTGAGGGAGGGGACCCCGAAATTGGGGTGAGGATCCCAAATTTGGGGTTTAGAGGGATCCTGGGACCCAAAATATTGGGGAAGGGGACCCCAAAATTGGGGTTTGGGGGGGTCAGGGGACACCAAAATTGGGGGAGGAACTCAAAATTTGGGGGTGAGAATCTCAAAATTGGGGTTTAGGGGGGCTCAGGGATCCTAAAAATGGGGATGGGGACCCCAAAATTGGGGTTTGGGGGGGTTCAGGGACCCCAAATTTTGGGTTTAGGGGGATCTGGAACCCTAAAAATGGGGAAGGGACCCCAAAATTTGGGGGTAGGGACCCCAAAATTGGAGTTTGGGGGGCTCTAGGACCCTAAAATTAGGGAAAGGGATCCCAAAATTGAGATTTAGGGGGATTAGGGAATGCCAAGATTGAGGAATGGGACCCCAAAATTGGGGTCTAGGAGGACATGGAACCCCAAAATTGGGGTTTGGCCTTGATCAGAGACTCTAAAAATGGGGAAGGGACCCCAAAATTTGGGTTTTGGGGGTTCAGGGACCCCAAATTTGGGGTTTTGGTGGTCCTGGGAGCTCAAAAAGGGGGAAGGGAACCCCAAATTTTAGGCTTGGAGAAAAATTGGGGTTTGGGGGTTTCTGGGACCCCAAAATTGGGGATGGGGACTCGAAAACTGGGGTTTGGGGGGGGTCAGGAACCCCAAAATCAGGATTATGGGAGTTCTGGGACACTAGAAATCAGGGGGACCCCAAAATTTGGGGGTAGAGACCCCAAAATACAGTAAGGAGCCAAAAATTGGGGTTGCGGGGGGGTCCAGGGACTCCAAAATTGGAAAAGGGGACCCAAAAATTTGGGGTGAAGATGACAAACTGGGGCTTTAGTGGCTCAGGGATCCCGAAATTGGGGTCTAGGAGGACATGGAACCACAAAGTTGGGGTTTTGGGGGTGCTGGGACCCTAAAATTGGGGAAAGGGACCCTAAATTTGGGGTTCAGAGGTTCTGGGACCATAAAAATTGAGGGAATCCCAGAATCTAAGGGTGGGGACCCCAAATATGGTGTCTGGGGTGTTCAGGGACCCCAAAATTGGGGTTTGGGAGCATCAGGGACCGCAAACTTGGGGTTAGGGGCTGGTCAAGGACCGCAAAATTGGGGTTCTGAGTGGGCAAGGAATCCCAAATTTGTGGTGAGGACCCCAAAATTGGGACTTAGGGGCATCATAAGACCCCAAAAATGGCGCGGACCCCAAAATTTGGGGGTGGGGAGCCTCCGAAACGGATGTTTTGAGGGTAGGAACCTTTGTGCGGGGGCCGCGTTTCCGGCCTGACTCACCGAGGCGCTGCGCCGTTTCCTGTGCGTCCGCAATGGCGTCCCCCAGGTCCCGCACCTCCTTCCAGAGCCGCTCCACGGCCGCGCGCAGCGCCCCCTGCTGGCCCAGCGGGGCCGAAGCGGCCTGCGTCAAAACGGGCCCAAAAGCGCCAGAATTCAGCCAAAATTCACCCCAATGTCCCTGAGAGTGTGCCCAGGGTTCTCACGAAACCCAAAACTCTCAAAATATTGAGAAAATCCCACAAAAAAACCCCAAAATTCCACAAAAACGAGGGTTAAGATTGGCCCAAATCTGCCCGGATTCCCCTCAAAATTCACCCCAATATCCCTGAGATTGTGCCCAGTGTCCTCACGATACCCAAAACTCCCAAAAAAATGAGAAAATCTCCAAAAACAAGGCTCAAAATTAACCCAAATCCGCCCAAATTCACCTCAAAATGCACCCCAATATCCCTGAGATTGTGCCCAGGATTCTCACAACACTCAAAGCTCACAAAAAAACAAGAAAAATCCCACAAAAAAAAACCCAAAATCCCACAAAAATTAGGCTCAAAATTGACCCCAAAATTTCCTGAAAAAAATCCCCAAAAATTCCCAAAATTTTTATAAAAACGAGGCTCAAAAAAATTCCCAAAATTCCCCCAAAAATCCCCCCAAAAACCCCAAAATTTTATAAAAACGAGGCTCAAAATGGACCCAAATCCGCCTGAATTCACCCCAAAATCCCTGAGATTGTGCCCAGCGTCCTCATGATACCCAAAACTCCCAAACAGGAAAACTCAACAAAAGAACCCCAAAATTCCACAAAAATGAGGATTAAAATGGCCCCAAATCCTCAAAAAAATCCCCAAAATTGCCCCCCCACAATATCCTTAAAATTCCCCCCCAAAATTCCACCAAAATGCCCCCCAAAAACTCCCAAAAACCCCAAAATTCCACAAAAATGAGGCTCAAAATTGACCCTAAATCCTCCCAAATTCACCCCAAAATTCCCTCAACTAGCCCTGAGATTGTCAAAAAACCCCAAAATCTTTTTCAAAATTCCCAAAAACCCTGAAAATTCCCAAATATCCAAAAATCCCCCAAAATTCCCAAAAAATAACCCTAACCCAAAAAACCCCCAAAATTCCCCCAAAAAATCACCCAAAGTCCTCCTCAAAAATCCCCAAAAAACTTCCCAAAAATTCCCCATACCCCCCAAAATCCCACAAAAATGAGGCTCAAAATGGACCCCAAATCCACCTGAATTCCCCCCAAAATTCACCCAGATATCCCTGAGATTGTCAAAAAATCCCAAAACTCCCCAGTCTTTTCCAAAATTCCCCAAAAACCCTGGAAAATCCCAAAAATCCCGCAAAAAATCCTCAAAATTCCCCCGAAAATTCCCCCCCAAATCCCTTTTAAATGCCCCAAGCCCCAAAATCCCTCCCAAAATTCCCACAAAACCCAAAAAAATTCTCCAAAATTTTGCATTTTGCCCACAAAAAAAATCCCATTTCAAGCTCCAAAACTCCCCTAGACCCCCCAAAATTGCCTCAAATCCCCTCCAAAAATCAAAAAAAATCCCCCAAAATCCAAAAAAATCCCTTAAAATTCCTGAAAATTCCCCCAAAATCCCAAAATTTCCCCAAAATGTCCCCAAATCTGAGGGACCCCCCCCCCAAATTTTGGGTTCCCCACCCCAAATCTGACCCCAATTCCCCCTCAGGTTTTGGGGTCCCGCTCACCTCCAGCTCCTGCAGGTGCCCGTACCTGAACCCCGAGTTAAGGAACAATTTGGGGATCCCCCAAAAATCTCCCCTTCAATTTAAGGTTGAACCCCCAAATTTGGGCACCCCCACCCCAAATTTTGGGGTTTCCAGAATTTTCTATCCCAGGAACCCCCAAATTTTTGAGGATCCCCCAAAATTTCGGATACAAGCGCAGATTTCCTCGGATGTTCTTCACGTTCCTGTGGGGACACCCCAAAAATTCTGTGAGGGTTGAACCGGGAAAATGAGCGGGAAAAGAGGCGCGGGGCATGATGGGAGCTGTAGTTCAGTGGGGTGGGGCCTGCAATGATGCTCTATGGGCAGCGCGGGGCGTGATGGGAGCTGTAGGCCGGCTATAATGAAACTCAATGGGGCGTGGGGCATGATGGGAGTTGTAGGCTTGACTATAATGGAACTCAGTGGGGCGCGGGGGATGATGGGAGCTGTAGGCTTGGCTTTAATGGAACTCAGCGGGGCGCAGGGGATGATGGGAGCTGAAGGCTTGGCTATAATGGAACTCAGTGGGGCGCGGTGCATGATGGGAGCTGTAGTCCCGGAAAGCATCTCCCCCTCCTTCCCCTTAAATTTTGGGGTCCCCT